TCTTTTTATAAGTCTATAGAGAATTGTTTTAACAAATGTTCGTTAGACAGACCTTTACTCGGGTACCGATTAATATTGAATTTATTCAACTTATCGAGTATTTTTCAAGGGACCGGGAAAAAATGTTCACTTTATCGAGAGATTCGTTAGACAAACCTTTACTCGGGTAAAACACGGGCAAATGTTCGTTAGACAAACCTTTACTCGGGTAAAACCTCGGGCGAAGCCGGGTACGTCCGCTAGTATATATATAAAAATGAATGTATGTGTGTGCGTGTGTCCTTTATGCCTGACCAAACCACTCATTGGAACGCCATGAAACTTTGGGAAGTTATTTAGTATAGTTAACACAAAGCAATAACGCGCCATCTATACATATAAAATAAAAGGATTTAAAAGCGCGAATGTTTCTTTTATACATAAAACGAACTTCTACTGTCCTTACTGCGATGAAAAAATATATTGGGAGGGCTTGGCTCATCAGTGGTGAACCCTCCCAGCGGTTTCGCCAATTTAATCCACCAGACCGCTTCTCTGAGCTCTAATATTGTATTGGATCATTCTGCTTTTATATGCTACACTGAAGGATGGAATCTTAGAAATGGTTTTCAAGTAAACTATGGACATAAGCTTATAGGACAGTAGAATTATATTCAAATATTTGCTTCGAGCAATGCTCTTCAGCAAACTATAAAGACAAGGTCATTAGGAATAAATTAACACAAAGCAATAACGCGCCATCTATACATATAAAATAAAATGATTTAAAAGCGCGAATGTTTCTTTTATACATAAAACGAACTTCTACTGTCCTTACTGCGATGAAAAAATATATTGGGAGGGCTTGGCTCATCAGTGGTGAACCCTCCCAGCGGTTTCGCCAATTTAATCCACCAGACCGCTTCTCTGAGCTCAAATATTGTATTGGATCATTCTGCTTTTATATGCTACACTGAAGGATGGAATATTAGAAATGGTTTTCAAGTAAACTATGGACATAAGCTTATAGGACAGTAGAATTATATTCAAATATTTGCTTCGAGCAATGCTCTTCAGCAAACTATAAAGACAAGGTCATTAGGAATAAATTAACACAAAGCAATAACGCGCCATCTTCGCAGTAAGGACAGTAGAAGTTCGTTTTATGTATAAAAGAAACATTCGCGCTTTTAAATCCTTTTATTTTATATGTATAGATGGCGCGTTATTGCTTTGTGTTAATTTATTCCTAATGACCTTGTCTTTATAGTTTGCTGAAGAGCATTGCTCGAAGCAAATATTTGAATATAATTCTACTGTCCTATAAGCTTATGTCCATAGTTTACTTGAAAACCATTTCTAAGATTCCATCCTTCAGTGTAGCATATAAAAGCAGAATGATCCAATACAATATTAGAGCTCAGAGAAGCGGTCTGGTGGATTAAATTGGCGAAACCGCTGGGAGGGTTCACCACTGATGAGCCAAGCCCTCCCAATATATTTTTTCATCGCAGTAAGGACAGTAGAAGTTTGTTTTATGTATAAAAGAAACATTCGCGCTTTTAAATCCTTTTATTTTATATGTATAGATGGCGCGTTATTGCTTTGTGTTAATTTATTCCTAATGACCTTGTCTTTATAGTTTGCTGAAGAGCATTGCTCGAAGCAAATATTTGAATATAATTCTACTGTCCTATAAGCTTATGTCCATAGTTTACTTGAAAACCATTTCTAAGATTCCATCCTTCAGTGTAGCATATAAAAGCAGAATGATCCAATACAATATTAGAGCTCAGAGAAGCGGTCTGGTGGATTAAATTGGCGAAACCGCTGGGAGGGTTCACCACTGTAGAGCCAAGCCCTCCCAATATATTTTTTCATCGCAGTAAGGACAGTAGAAGTTCGTTTTATGTATAAAAGAAACATTCGCGCTTTTAAATCCTTTTATTTTATATTTAGTATAGTACTGGGAAGCTTTATGAAAAATAATTTCTTGAATATCTTGAATATCCTTAGAGTTATATGCAGATTTGTAGATTTAACTCGCAAGCAGCGCCACCATTGCGACGGAGATAGGCTTAGGCAGGAAGTCTGCTCCACGCCTGATGACCTTGGGTCTTTCAGGGCTAATATATTAGGTAAAACTAATTCAAATATTAGTGCTTTATAATGGCTATCTCCTTGAGGTTACCGATTTAAAAGTTTATTTTCTAATTTTAGATTGTATAATAAACATATTTTATTTTAAGTATTGTACTTTATTTAAAAAGTTTAAATAATTGTGCAAGACGATATATACGATATATAAAAATCAAAAGAAATAATGAGTATCGTTTAAATATAAAATTCGAATAAATATAAATGCGATACTAAAAATTAAATAACTTATATAGAAGCTTTTGCATAGTTTCCTCCTGTAAGCATACCAACTTGATAAAAGTTTCCTGTTTTCCCTTTAAATTTGCATGATACGACCCTCTATTCATTTTTGAATTAGTAGAAATCAGACGATAACCATAGGCCATAGCCATTCAAAAGTTGGTTTAGGTCGTCAATCCTTTGCGAACAAATGGAAATATCCACGCTGGCGCTCTATCCGCAGATTTTTTAAATGATATCCCGTGTCGTTTTTTTTTTATATATAATATGAGAGCCACCCCTTGCTTGAAGCAAATCCTTTAATCCCAAGAGACTGGGCGAAAGACTTGAACATGAAACCGCCGACGGAACGTTTTGTCCTCTACACTGACGAATCCACTTAACCAAGCTCTGATCTCCGCCCGTAGAGCGGGGGAATTTTGCGCACAAGTCAAAGTTAGTTTTATCATTTATCGACACGGCAATTTATTTGAGACAAGAATAATGATACAATTCCAAGGCAAAGATACTATTACTTTAACTTCCAATTACCGAGGGAACCAATTAATATTGATTTTATTCAACTTATCGAGTATTTTTCAAGGGACCGGGAAAAAATGTTCACTAGATAAAACGATGATTTTGTAATGTAGAAAATTAGGAAAGACAAAATTCAGGATGACACGGCACACAGGGACCGGGAAAAAATGTTCCCTTTATCGAGAGATTCAAATTTACGAGTTTCAAATTATCAAAATATATCTATTATTTTTTTTATAAGTTTATAGAGAATTGTTTTAACAAATGTTCGTTAGACAAACCTTTACTCGGGTAAAACCCGGGCGAAGCCAGGTACATCCGCTAGTTTATAATAAAAGCAGTCTCTAACAAGGCTTGAGACCACACACAAGGAGGTTGTACCTTTTACCATGTATATCGGGATTCAGACAATAACTCTGAAAGATATTACAGTGACCTTTATTGAAGACACACGAGATAACCAAGTGTATATACACTCATGGACAAAACTTAAGGAAGTTGTACCTTTTAGCATGTATATCGGGATTCAGACAATAACTCTGAAAGATATTACAGTGACCTTTATTGAAGACACACGAGATAACCAAGTGTATATACACTCATGGACAAAACTTAAGGAATTTGTACCTTTTAGCATGTATATATGGATTCAGACAATAACTCTGAAAGATATTACAGTGACCTTTATTGAAGACACACGAGATAACCAAGTGTATATACACTCATGGACAAAACTTAAGGAAGTTGTACCTTTTAGCATGCATATCGGGATTCAGACAATAACTCTGAAAGATATTACAGTGACCTTTATTGAAGACACACGAGATAACCAAGTGTATATACACTCATGGACAAAACTTAAGGAAGTTGTACCTTTTACCATGTATATCGGGATTCATACAATAACTCTGAAAGATATTACAGTGACCTTTATTGAAGACACACGAGATAACCAAGTGTATATACACTCATGGACAAAACTTAAGGAAGTTGTACCTTTTACCATGTATATCGGGATTCAGACAATAACTCTGAAAGATATTACAGTGACCTTTATTGAAGACACACGAGATAACCAAGTGTGAACAAAATTCTTTCTGTTTTCTAAAAAAAAACGACTGGCGACATCAAAGACTTTCCACTTCCTTAAGTTTTGCCCATGAGAGTGTAATAACTATTAAACAATATTTAAGAGAACGGCTGAATTTTAAGCTAGAGAATAGCTAGAAGCGGAAACACCTATAAGATAATTAAAATGGAAAAAGTAGGATTTCAAGGCACCTCTAGGTGTTGTAATTTGGATGTTGACGTTTTAAAACACTTAATTCCGGTTAACCTCATAAACAACCATAGAAGGGGCTCTGGTCATGACGAATTATTGAGAAAAAAGCCATTCAAAGAACTATTAACATAGTTTGGCAGGGGGATAAAAGAGAAGAAAACTAGTAAAAAAAAGGCCAACCAATTGGGACTCAAGGACATGGCATTATCTAAATTGACCAAGCGGAGTTGTGACTCCCCCTATCGGAAAACACTTAAACTAAAGAGATCGGGCGTGTGGCCAGGCATTTGAAATTGGTGTGGAAAAAAAAGGGAAACTTTTTTTTTCTTATTCTTCTAATGGCGAAAAAAAAATCTCTAATTGAAAAACCCCAGGAAATTTTTCCAAACCCAATTGTGAAAATTGCGAAAAATTGACCTCTTTCTAATTGTGAAAACAGAGCGCATGACCAAATTTGCATAGTCCACATTTACTGCGCTTTTTTTTATAAATAGAGATTAAAACGGATATCAAACAATTGCTATTGGGAATGATAAATAGTGTAGGAGGGTTAACCTATCATTGTAGAGCACTTCCCCTTGATTTCTTCAATTTAATCTACCATACCTAAGCGCTACAAATAATATTGAAAAACGATATTTGAAATACTATCTCGCATGTATTTCTTTTCAACGAAAATTCAAAATTTATTTCAAGGAGGAATAACGATTATTTCTAACCTTTTGGATGAGGTATGAAAGGGTGAATTGTGAAGAGTAATGATAAACAGAAAAATAAAAGTGTCCAGGGATGGGAATCGACAGTGTTCCGTTTACCGGGCAGCTGCCATGTCCACTATATGTCCAGGGTAGCCTAGTGGACATGGCATCTGCCCGGTAAGCGGAACACTGTGGGTTCTATTGCCATCCCTGGACACTTTTATTTTTCCGTTTATCATTACTCTTCACAATTCACCCTTTCATACTTCATCCAAAAGGTTAGAAATAATCGTTATTTCTCCTTGAAATAAATTTTGAATTTTCGTTGAAAAGAAACATATGCGGGATAGTATTTCAAATGTCGTTTTACAATCACAAGCCGTATTATATTGTATTATAAACAATATTGAATTAACTCATTTCGAAAAGTAAAAACCTCTGCAATACATATGATTAATAAACAAAACGGCTTTCGAAGGATGAATTTCTTGTTTTACATTCTTCTCAAGTTCTCGGGTATCATAAACCCTTCTACAGGATTAAACGATAAGGGATCCTGCAGAAGGATTTTTTTTGCTTATCCCTAGTACAGGCCATGATAATCATGGTGGGTAGAAGACGACTGTTTTTACTGTAAGTGCACCACATGTCTACACATGTGAAAAGCAGTTTGACTTTGCACTTACAAATGCCAGAGTCCCGTTTGTTTACTTGCACTCGCTGGTGGGGTTGGTCTTTTGCAAGAATAGGGGGACATTGGAGCATTTTTTTTTAAATCAGGAAAAAGTGCCTAATGCAGGAATTGAACCCGGGTCGTTGCGGTCGTAAACCAACGGTTTATATCAGCCTTCCACCGACCCCCAGAAGGATTTGTAATAGCCGAAAGCTTGAGAAGAAGATATGAAATTCACCCTTAGAAAATCCGTTTTGTTTATTAATGAAGCCCATTCAATCTATCTAGTCTGTAGATGGAGGTTTGTATTCTTAGTGAGAAGGTTTAATTTGAAGAATTGGCTATGAACAGGTTAAGGACTTTAGTGAATAGTATATTCAATATTGTTTTATTTGTCTATTAAAGCTCTTTAAAAATAGAAAACAAAACTACACGCTTTCGTCTGCCCAAACATCATGTAAACATTATGATACTTACTTGAGTATATAATAAAGAGAGAAGCAAATATATATTCAAATTTATAATAAAACAAAACACATATTTACAAATAAAAATACAAGGTATGTCCCATAAGTTCCCGGACTGGGTCCATAAAAAAATAAATAAATGAAAAATGTAAATGAATTTGACTGTTTATTATAGAAAAAAATATCTGGCTACACGGTGGTACCAATATCGAGGCGGTACTTGCGCGCGCGCCAAGGTTATTCTAATTTATTTAAAAGTCACACCTAGCGCTGCGGCGATTTTACGATGGAACAAAAATTGAAGCAGAGGATTTGCATAGAATTTTGTGTGAAACTTCAAATATCAGCAACCGAAACTTTTGAAATGCTTAATAAAGCATTCCCCAATGACGCCCCAAAGAGAACAACTGTTTTTGAATGGCATTCTAGATTTAAAGCTGGCAGAATTTCCATTGAAGATGATCCTCGTCAAGGACGCCCAAAATTTCAAAGGACTGATGAAAATGTGCAAAAAATCACCGATTTGATAAAAGAAAATCCTCGAACCACTTTGCTGGAGCTAGAGCAAGACACAGGCATCTCTGAAACAACGATTGGAAGGATCGTAACCGAAGATTTGAAGCTCAAAAAGACTCCTGCAAAATTCATCCCAAGATTTCTCACCAATGAGCAAAAACTGTGTCGGCTTGCAACCTGTGAGGACATGATGGAAATAACAAGAACGGATCCAGAATGGAAAGACAAGATAATCACAGGCGACGAGACATGGGTCTATGGCTATGACCCTGAAACCAAACCTCAATCTGCCGAGTGGAGAGGTTAGGGTGAGCCTAGACCCAAAAAATCCAGAAACAAGGTGTTGCTGGTCGCTTTTTCGGATAACAAGGGCATTGTTCATCACGAGTATCTTCCTGCAGGCCAAACAGTTATTAAGGAAATGTATTTGGGCATTCTTCGCCGTCTAAGGGAAGCGATTCGAAAAAAAAGGCCAGAAAAATGGACTAATGGTGGCTGGATCCTACACCATGACAATGCTCGCCCTCACACAGCGCACTTGATGACTAGCTTTTTGGCGAAAAACGTGACACAAATCCTACTTCAACCACCCTATTTCCCAGACATCGCACCAAATGACTTTTTCCTGTTCCCCAAACTTAAAGCAGTTCTAAAAGGAAGACATTTTGACACCAGGGATGACATTATAGAAAAATCGCCGTTAGCATTGAAGAGCATTCCAAAAGAGGCTTATAAAAACTGTTTCGACAATTGGGAGAAACGATGGCGCTGGTGCGTTGAAGCAAGGGGGGATTACTTTGAAAAGTTTTAATAAAAAAAATTTTAAAAAATCTTACCTTTTTTTTTATGGACCCAGTCCGGGAACTTATGGGACATACCTTGTATATTTTAAAAATCGATTTCTATTAACCTTTTAGTCTTTTTTTTGTATTTTATGCAAATCGATTAGAGTTTTTTTAAGTTGCATATTTAATCGTAAAGAAAGCACACAGCATATATCTGCATATTTACAACCAGACTATTAAGTACGGCACAGAGGAATGCTATTACCTCAATCATAAATCCATGGCCATAATGGAGCAGACCACGCCTAGCATTTCTCTAGGGACGACCTTTCTGATTGGTCCATAACCTGGCAGCGTTGCTGAATCTGTTCCGCATTTTTATATACACTACATTCAGTGAATTACCATTTATTTTTGAAGTTGCATTGTAATATATTTCAACTTTTCTACTTTTATTATTATTTCACACCCATTATTCTCTTTTATACTACTGCATTATACAAACATTATTTATATTTAAAATATATTTTTTGGTGTTGTATATTTTTACGACTTCTTGGTTATAGGTAGTTATGTAGGACCATAACTTTTTACTGCCCCATTTAACTACAGTTAACTAGCATTGCTTGGCGCCTTCTTTCCTATAAAGGGAGGTAATCAGTACCTGCCAAATTTTAGTTTTTTCCACATTGATCGTTTTCAAATAAAAATTTACAATATCATTTCAAAATGGAGGTATAAAATTAGGGGGGGGAATTATTATATATGTACTTATTATTTTTAAATTTTAATTAGCGTATCTTAAAGTAGACATGTGGGTGTTGTTGCTATCGTGTCCAATGAAGAACCTCAGATGTCTCCATACATCTCTATCACAGAATTCGTTCTCTATTTTGGGTGTGTAAAGCTGTTGTTAAGGGTCCATGTCAATTTTCTATTGTTGTTGTTGGAGTTGTTGTGTCCAATGAAGAGCCTCAGATGTCTCCATACATCTCTATCACAGCAGTCGTTCTCTATCTTGGGTGTGTAAAGCTGTTGTTCTGGGTCCATGTCAATTTTCTATTGTTGTTGTTGTAGTTGTTGTGTCCAATGAAGAGCCTCAGATGTCTCCATACATCTCTATCACAGAATTCGTTCTCTATTTTGGGTGTGTAAAGCTGTTGTTCTGGGTCCATGTCAATTTTCTATTGTTGTTGTTGTAGTTGTCGTGTCCAATGAAGAGCCTCAGATGTCTCCATACATCTCTATCACAGAATTCGTTCTCTATTTTGGGTGTGTAAAGCTGTTGTTCTGGGTCCATGTCAATTTTCTATTGTTGTTGTTGTAGTTGTCGTGTCCAATGAAGAACCTCAGATGTCTCCATACATCTCTATCACAGAATTCGTTCTCTATTTTGGGTGTGTAAAGCTGTTTTTCTGGGTCCATGTCAATTTTCTATTGTTGTTGTTGTAGTTGTTGTGTCCAATAAAGAGCCTCAGATGTATCCATACATCTCTATCACAGCAGTCGTTCTCTATCTTGGGGGTGTGAAGCTGCTGCTCTGGGTCTATGCCAATTTTATGTTCTTGTTGTTGTCGTGTCCAATGAAGAGCCTCAGATGTCTCCATACATCTCTATCACAGCAATGTCCTCTATCTTGGGTGTGTAAAGCTGTTGTTCTGGGTCCATGCCAATTTTCTATTGTTGTTGTTGTAGTTGTCGTGTCCAATGAAGAGCCTCAGATGTCTCCATACATCTCTATCACAGAATTCGTTCTCTATTTTGGGTGTGTAAAGCTGTTGTTCTGGGTCCATGTCAATTTTCTATTGTTGTTGTTGTAGTTGTCGTGTCCAATGAAGAACCTCAGATGTCTCCATACATCTCTATCACAGAATTCGTTCTCTATTTTGGGTGTGTAAAACTGCTGTTCTGGATCCATGTCAATTTTCTGTTGTTGTTGTCGTGTCCAATGAAGAGCCTCAGATGTCTCCATACATCTCTATCACAGCAATGTCCTCTATCTTGGATGTGTAAAGCTGCTGTTCTGGGTCCATGTCAATTTTCTGTTGTTGTTGTTGTGTCCAATGAAGAGCCTCAGATGTCTCCATACATCTCTATCACAGCAATGTTCTCTATCTTGGGTGTGTAAAGCTGCTGTTCTGGGGTCATGTCAATTTTATGTTGTTGCTGTCATGTCCAATGAAGAGCCTCAGATGTCTCCATACATCTCTATCACAGCAATGTCCTCTATCTTGGATGTGTAAAGCTGCTGTTCTGGGTCCATGTCAATTTTCTGTTGTTGTTGTTGTCGTGTCCAATGAAGAGCCTCAGATGTCTCCATACATTTCTATCACAGCAATGTTCTCTATCTTGATTGTGTAAATCTGCTGTTTTGGGTCAATTTTCTGCAAGTCTGCGGCCATTACTGGACATGAGAATATAGGGGTAGATGTTAGTTCCATACCAGGACAGTTGTTACACGTCCTGTAGATTCTTGTACCATCTGGATGTATTGTCATTCCTTTATAATGTTTCATTCTGAGTCTTCTGATTATTTTTGTTATCCTTCTCTCAGAGTTTATGTCTCATATTTGACCTTTCCTTGTCTTTTGTTGAATTATCTTGGATTTTGCCAGAGCATCAGCATTAAATGGTCATTTACATACCAAGGTGACTAACGTGGCAACGGCACCCATTTTACAATGAAGAGAAAACCCGATATCTCCAGTAGCCATATGGTATACAGGGCATATTCATTTTGGTGTGTAGTTAGCTTTAAGTACATCCCATGTGTTT